GTGGAGAGCAGGGACTCACCGCATACACAAATCTCTCCCTAAGAAACCGTTTCATAGACTCACTCTTCTCACACTCTCTTGATCTCACCATAAAGCATAACTGTTCTTCCACATTGAATTTGTACATAAAAAGTTATTGAATTAATCATCTCTAATTGTAATGGACAATGTTCATATCAGTCTCTCAACTCTTGATAATAAGGGACTATATCTCTCCATTTCTGTCTTCCCTGCACAATTGAGCACAAAGCTTGGAACAAAGTAGGTGCCAGTAAAGGTTTGATGAAGGCATGAATGAATATGTGAATGGGAAAAAAAAAACCCAAAATCTGTAAAATAAGAGGTTTATTCCGAGCCAAATATGAGTGACTGTAGCCCAGAGAACACATCTCAAAATGTCCTGAGAGAATGCACTCGAAGCAGCCAGGTTACAGTTTGTTTTTATAATTTTTAGGGAGACAGGAATTGCAGGTAAAATCATAAATCAATATACATTGGAAGGTATACATTGATTTGGCCCAAAAAGGCAAGACATCTTGAACCAGCGGCTTACAGGTTAAAGGTGGGTTCAGAGATTCTTTGATTTGTAATTGGTTAAAGAAATAAAGCTTTGTCTAAAGGCTTGGAATCAGTAGAAAGGAATGTTTTAAGATAAGTCTGTTAATCATAGAGCAAGCCACAATACACCGATTCAAAGTGATCTGCTAAGCCAGCAACTTAACCTTTGCTTTATATGGCCTTAGGTCCTGTTTGCAATTAGTCGAAACTCCAAAAGGGAGGGGGCATCATGAGGCATGTCTGATCTCTCTTCATGGCTAGGAACTCAGATTTGAGATTTTTCTGGGGTTCCCTTGGCCAAGGGAGGGTCTGTTCAGTCAGTGGGGGAGGTAGGATTTTATTTTTAGTTTATATTTTCCTGCTTGGCCAAGATTTGCCAGAGGCAGCATCAATGGCCAAATTTTATTTTGTGCCATCGTTGCTAGGGTGGTGTGGCTACCTGCCCTGGGTCCATTCTGTCCCTCAGTGGGACCCCTATGGCCAAGGAACTTAGAGCCAAAAGACTTATGGTCAATTAAATGTTCTAGGCCAGATGGGAATGGAAGTGAGCAGGCACTCACTAACCCTTTAAACCTTTTAAGCAACCTAAGAGCCAAAAACCAAAAGCAAGGTTACAAAATCAATGTATCAGTAAGTGTTGTGCTACTGTAATCTTGGTTTAGTTGCAGATATGTAGCAATTTGCTGTACAAAGCATAAAACATTTTGCTAAAACCATTTAAACTAAGGAATTTAGAGGCTTCTTGTACTACAATGTATTTTGTGTTTTCTTTACTAATTTGTCGTAAGGTAGCTGATAAATTTTTATTATAATCTCTATTTGTATAAGCCCCATAACTGGGAACAACTATACCTAGGATGCCTTGCCATCAGGTATCTCAATATCTTCTCAATAATTTTCTTGTATTTCTTTAGGAAGCAGAAAAATCTTTACGGTTGGGATGGATTGAAAGGGGTCACATAATGGCCCAAGAAGCAAACTCCTTCAATTTCCCAGCTGTTTACTCACCTGTGTGCCCGTCTTTGATTTGGAGGATCTGAACTAATTCCACCCCTTGAAACTGGCCCTTACAATCTTACACGCTCACCCCTTCCATGATAGTCCCTGGGCTTACAGGGACGGTTTGTATAGTTTTACCAGCTAGGCGTTGGCAATGGAAAACAGATCAGGCCCAGTGGAATTCCAAATGAGGGAGATTTTCAGGCTTTGTTGAATCATCTCTAGTCATCAGAATACCATGATTCTGGTTTTCTTGGGAGAAATAAAACAATGAGAGAGAAACAATATTAACTTAACAATTAAAAGAGAATTTGTGTGTCACAACAGAAAAAGGAACCTATTCCATTAGGGAGCCAACTAAAAACATCATGAAGAAAATTACAGCCCAGTTCTTCTTTAGAGACTTGTTGTAGCTGAGAAATAACCAGGATTCAGTCTTAACTGCAGGTAATAATAACTCAAAAACAAAGGTTAGGGCTGGAATCTAATAACAGGTGTGTTATAGGTTTTTTTATTGTTTGTTTTTTCTTTTACTTTTTTGTTTTTAAGTAGCAATAATCGTACCTTGGATAAACCTCATTGGCTATGATACTGCCAGTGTGCAAAGCTAGTTTTTTTATTTTTTGAAATATAATTTTTCTCTCCCCAGTCCCCCTTTTCTACCAAAGAGATTCTACCAAATCATAGTTTGTGGGCAAAATAAGTTTTAGTCTTATTATACTTAGACTGATTATTTGCATAAAAGTATAATGAGAAGAGAGATAAACTTTTTTTAAGTTGGCTTTGCTGGAACTTTATCTGAAAATATGTTACCCTATTCAAAGCCTTGGTAAAATAATCAGTGTCCCCAATGTGTCCTGTTACAAAAGAAAACATATTCTTATTGAACTAATGCAAATAACTATATCATCAGAAAATAAAAATGCTCACTAATAGTTTTTGAATTCTGGACATCAGGTAGAGAAAGATAAATTTTGCTACTTTACTTAATTGTTGTAGGCTACAAATAGCTCAAAAGAAAAAGCTTTTCCTGATTCTGGAAAATAAAACATAAAGAATCAGCAACGTTTTAAACAAAAAGTCATAAAAATTATTTCAGTCTTCTATCAGTTTAGTTCCATGTAATTAACTCTTGTTCCACTTGATGTTGGGTTAGCAATTTTCATGAACACATCAGCTTTTTAATTGGATTCCTGGAAGATTTTTTTGTTTTGTTTTGTTTTGTTTTGTTTGTACAATGGTATAATCTCCAATACTTGTCAGAGTCCTTTCAATGAATTTTCTTAAAGAATAAGCAAATTTGGATTGTAGCAAATTATAAATCACTCTTTTGAGTAGAATCAAAGTAAAATAATAATTGTCTGTGGATGATGAAAGTCTTAGAATAGCCACAGTTAAAGACACAATTCACAAAGAAATTTGTTTATTTCTGTGGCATACAACAATTTAACATAATAATCATAATTACCACTGGTCACATATACTAAGACATATCAGAACTTTAGGACTCTCACACAACTTCAGAACACATTTATACAAATATAACCCAAAGAATGTTGAGCACCATTTCATATTTGACATTGTTTTCTGTATGATTCTAACATTCCAAATAAGCCTAGTATGTTTCTCTTGGACTTTCCAGAGCCCTAATATCAAAAAGTTAGTATGAGGTAATTTGAAATTTTGATTTTGAAAGTTTGTCAGATATCAAAGGCTTAAAACACTCGTTCAAAATAGAATCACAGGTCGCTGTAAAATAATAGTCATTCATTTAGGCAAAGTCATAATTTAAAGATTTTAAAAAGGAATACCTTTACTCTTTGATAGGAGACTCAGTTTCCCAAACAATAATAAGACCCTGTAAGGCAAACTGAATCTATCTCTCCCCGTCTCAATCACAGGGCTGCCCCTGTGTTACATGTTAATATCCCCTTCTCAATCAGACGGCTGCTTACTGACATTGGTCAGTGCACAGAGTTGCCAATGACTAAAAACAACTTTTAATCCAAAATCTGGAAGAGGTGGCTTGCAAGCTGAATGTTACCTGCTTTGAAAAATGATTCTTTAAAAATAAAAATTGTCGGCCAGGCGCAGTGGCCTGTAATCCTAGCACCCTGGGTGGCTGAGGTGGGAGGATTGCTTGAGCTCAGGAGTTCAAGACCAGCCTGAGCAAGAGCGAGACCTCGTCTCTACTAAAAATAGAAAGAAAGATATTGGCCAAACAACTAAAAATAGAAAAAATTAGCTAGGCGTGGTGGCGCATGCCTGTAGTCCCAGCTACTTGGGAGGCTGAGGCAGGAGGATCACTTGAGCCCAGGAGTTTGAGGTTGCTGTGAGCTAGGCTGATGCCACGGCACTCTAGCCCAGGAAAGAGAGTGAGACTCTGTCTCAAAAAAAAAAAAATTGCCAACATTTGCAATTTGGAAGAATTCACTTTTTTAAAAAATCTGTATTCCAGCTTCTTTTGAAAAACTGGACAATCTCTCCACGGCTCTGTGGCAGGAAGTGGGGGGGCACATTTCGACAAGGCAAAATTCATTTGAGTTTGGAATTCAGAGGAGGCTCACTTCTCAGACCAGGTCATGAGCTTTCAGTTCACTGTCCTCTCACTGATGTACATGAACTGTCTGGGTCCTGATTTAATCTCTAATTGGTTAAATCTAGTTGCTTAGAGCAAGCTTTGGGGAGTAGGTGATGGGGCACTCTTGGTGAAACAGGAGTAGATCGCAGCACTTAGTCTACCTGTGTGTTCCTTGCCTGCACCACCACGTGCTGCTGACTTGGAAAGGTTCATGCTTTGCACGCAAAGCACGTCACTCAGAGGTGTCATCATCTCTCTGTGTGGAAAGGGTTATTACCAGCATATACATCTCTTTCATGCCTCAACGGTTGGGATACTATGCTTCTTGGATGGTTGAGTTTGCCTTTGGTATAGTTCACTTGGAAGGAGGGTAGACAACATCCAGGAGGGTTCTAAGGAGCATAGATTTGTTCTGACATTATGAATAACGCTGAAAGTTCTTTTGTTTGCCAAAGACACTTCTTAGCAACAGTTTAGTTTCCTAAGAAACTGAACCACTGTGGACTAAGCGGACAAAGGCGGTGTTTGGTTTAGCGAGTTTGGAAATAATCTGGGAAGGAGGTGCCCAGGCCCGATCTCAGATGGAGATAGTGGGAGGTAGAGATGTAAAGGCGAGTGGGATGGACCCACTGCAGACCTGGTCCAGGCAGGCGCGACCACACAAAATCGGCCCGACAGCCAGGGTTCACGAGCTTTTATTGCGGCGCGGGACCAGGACCCGAAACCTGGGACTGTGGCCGAGAGCGCCACATTGCGCCTGCGCATAAAACCTCAGGGCAAGGGGAGCGAGTAACCCGTTAACCAGGCCTCCGTAGGAGCCAGGCTGCTTCACAAGTCTGCGCAGGCGCGTCCCGCTTACAGACCCTGGTCAGTGCGCAGGCGCCCGTCCTGGTCGGTCCTCTTGTCGTGTAAACAGAGGGGTCGGCTACCAACAACTTCTGCTTCCGGTTCACTCCTTGACAGCGGCTTTCAAGACCCAGCTCAGCCCCCACGGTTCGGTGAGTGCGGTCCTCGGTGCGGGAAGGTCTGCAGCCAGGTTCTCTCACCCGGGACACCAAGCCCAGTAACGCTTCCTCCCCTCCTCGCTCAAGGTCCGCCAGCCCTCGAGGCTGAGACATCATTCCGGGCCTTGCGGGGAAATTGGGGAGAGAGTTTGTCCACCTCTAGGCTCCCCGACGCACATTGCGCGACCCCCTTTCAGTACCAGACCTGCCGGGATTGCTGCAATCTGTTGGGAGCCCATGCGGAAAGTGACACCACATGTCCTTGCATTTTGTGCCCTTGTCCCCCGCCCCCTAGCCTCAGCGAGACAGCTGCCGCGAGCCCTCCCGCAGCAGGTGCACTGGGATTGGGGGCGCCTCGGCTTGGCCGAGGCCTGGCTAGCATTAGAGCTGTTGAGTGTCGTCTCTGTTCCTTTATGCTTTTAGCTTCGCAATAAAAAAACAAAACAAAACAAAAAACAACTTTGGTGTTTTCTGTGGATCCCGTAGCGAAAGAAAACGGAGGAGAAAGGGCCCATTAGGGCTCAAATCGTGCACGGACTGCTATCCAGAGATAGGTCGAATTTAGATTTCCTTGACCCCTCCTGACAGTAAATGTTGCCAGTCTGCCCTGAAGTTTCACTTTTTCACGAGGGGCTTCAAGGCAGCTGCAGACCACTGGTCATACTCTCAGTTAGGAGTTTTTAGCCTGGAGTTTTAGTTTCATCAGATTATCATGGTCCAGAAACGGTTAACAGAACCACTTCAGTCCAAGCCTCCTGCTTTAGCTAGCTGCTTTGTCTTCTATCCCCATTCTTGGAATCGCAGACTCAAATGCACCGCTGCCTTTTTTTCCTTTTTCCTGTCAACAAAGTATAAGATATAGACCTTTGTCACTGAGTTTAGTGACTATTGGAGAGATTAAAACATGCCAAATCTAAACTGGAAAATTTCATTTCATTCCAGAGACACATATAAACAATTGTGTCAGCTTATTCATTCATAATAAAGTAGGAGAGAAGCATACCCAATTTAAATCATTGATACCTATGAATGGAACATTTTTAACTTGCATCATTGATTAATAGAATTTCTATCTGATATAAATGACTACTGATTAGCAAAATAGAAACCATCAGAGTTTACAGTATATTATATAACATATAAAGGGATACTCCATCACAAAAAGCAAAAATTATATATTATGAAATTACCAAAATATTTTCATATGCATAATATGCTTAATTATTGCAAGTCTTGATTTATTAGGATTCAAAGTAATAAGCTTTACATTGATTCAATAGATATGTACTAAGGACCTATCATATGTCAGGAACTATTGGAGAAAACACTATCTTTACTCCCAAGCAGCTTACATTTTAATGAGAATACAGATTTCTAAGCAATTACACTTAGCTAATACTACATACTATATTTTCCCTACAGTTTTTTTTACTCCTGAATTACATGTTGTGCAATTCCCTACAGTTTTTGATACGTGCTTTTTCATAGAAACATTCTACCTTATTGGCGTAATTTTAAATGTTCCCTAACTAGTATTAATAGCTCTTATACAGCCAAAACTTTCATAATAGTTGAATGTAAGTATATTGCATTATTTTCTTCTTCCATCTTAGAACAATCATTTCTATACCCTTTAGTCAATCAACCAACCAATATTTGTTAAATACCTACTTTTTGTGAGATTTTGTGGCTGCCTTCCATGGGTGAAAAAGTAGAAGACAGATCTTTGCCTTTCAAATGATTACAATTTAGCTGGAGAGACAATATGTACATAACTATACGGTAAGCCAAATGTATTAATAGTAAATAACCTAAAGGTGGTGCTGAATAAAAACCACAAACATTGAAAGGAGGAAAAGAGTGTTTTTTGGCATCTTCAGCCTTTGAAAAATCCCATTCCTTGCCTAGTCTTGTTTGTAAACCACACAGAGCTCCATGGGGGTCTTAACTACCTTGTAGGGAAATCTCGTGCTAGACTGGGTCAGAGAATAGAACGGAGGTCCTTAGGGTCAGAACATTTGTGTACAGGTTTACCCAGTTCCATAAGCTACTATTATAATCTAGTTCCTTATGATTATAAAAGATGGTGTTCATTAATCACTGATCTCCTTGAAATCTGCTTTTTAGTAATGGGAAGGCCCCAGAGAAAGCTTAACCCTAAGGACAGGTGTGCTTAAGTGACATTGTATAATGCTGAACACTTTTTTGTTTCAGGCAGTTTGGAGCATGTGAACACACTCTGAGCCTTGATGAGTTCCAGTATGTGGTATATTATGCAGAGCATTCAGAGCAAATACTCTCTCTCAGAGCGCTTAATCCGAACAATCGCTGCCATCCGTTCCTTCCCACATGATAATGTAGAGGACCTCATCAAAGGAGTGAGTGTGCTATTATTGACACAAAAGTACTTTGGGAGGGGAATGGGGGGAAATCCTAATGGATTACAGATTTGTGGCTTTAATTTAGCACAAGGTCACAAGGAATTTATACAGTCTCATTAAATATGTTAACATGATCCTCAAAATATATTTTCCCCATGTTTTCTTTGCTTTCCTTCTCCCTTTCACTTTGTATATCTGATATTTTTCTTCATGAAATATGTTCTAGATAACCCTAGTCTCATGTTCTTTGTAAAATTTCTGTCTGGATATTGTGCGTATGGAATCCATCGAGCTCAAAGTCTTCTATACATGTTTTGCTAAGCGGGGAAGGAGGTGAGCAAAGCAGAGGTAGTTTTCAAATCCTTGTGAGCCTTTCTTTATACCTGGGTTATAATAATTACATGGAGAGATTTTGCTTGCCTTCTATCTTAACAACAGCTACCACTTCCAGTTCTGTAGAGGATACCAACCCCTAAAATGCATGGTAATTATAGTTTAGGCGATGTATCTGATGTCTAACCACTGTTTGTCAGCAATTGTGTTATATGATTAGTATCCCAGACGGTCTTTACTACCCTATTCTGTGTATTATTCCTATTGAAGAGAAATTACAGAATAATTTTTTGATCACTAGAAAGTGTATCCGGATGGTTACTTCTGTACATTCTTTTTTAAGATTTTCAGATCCCCATTTACAGCCTGGAGCTCTGGAGCTGCTTCAGAATTATGTGGCACAACTGGAGAAGGAAAAGCCATACAGTGTTAGTTTGTTCTCAGCAAAAGTGGTGTCAAAAGACTCAGCAGTAGAAACTTTGTCACGTTCTAATTCTAGCTCTGCTGCTGAGTCATTCAGTGACTTTAGTCTGACCGGTATCTCCATCTCCTTTATCAGATTTTGAATAGGAGCACCGGCAGGGGCTGGACATCAGAGAATACTGATACTAAGAGGCTACTTTGAAGATGTTCTAAAAAAACAAAAATAACGTTAAGATGACCCTATTATTTGTGATGGTCATTCGTTGAGTGGCAAAAAGAACATGCCAATTCTGGCCTCAGTCTGATAGCCTCACTTTCCTACTCTTTCAGAATGTGGGGACCATAGAAAGTGGATTGCTGGTCCAGCTTTCCTGCCTGAGGATAAGGTTCCCACTGCTTTTGCATATAAGGTTATGTCCTCAATGATGTCCAGATGACCATCTGGCAGGCTACTTTGTGCAGAAACTTAATAACTTGATCTAAGGAATTAACAGTTCCTTTCCTTCATCTTCAGTGTATTCCCTTGGTTTGGACATTGGCATCATAATATTATATATTTAATTAATAGAAGTGGAAACTAGGAACGAGTAGTATATTTACAGTATAGTCGGGTTAGAACTCTCTACCCCCAGACTCAGTTCTTGTCCTGCTGAGCAGGTTGGAGTTGAACACACTGACTGATGTTAGCTTCTGCCCTCAGGGAGCAGATGTGAACTGCACCCATGGCACGCTGAAGCCCTTGCACTGTGCCTGCATGGTGTCAGATGCTGACTGTGTGGAGTTACTCCTGGAAAAAGGAGCTGAGGTAATGTTTTTAACACTTTCACATTAATGATTCACTAAAACTTGAGCTTTACATTTTCTTAGAATTTCTGTCTCTCCTCCATCTCTTCCCACCTCTAGTCTGGTCTTCCTAACTCATGTTAACATTGGTGTAGCCAATATTAAAGAAAAATGTAATGATAAATATATAAAATGATCCTAAGGATTTCATTCCTTTGCCTTTCTTTCTTCTCCTTAAACTGTCCATCACTTCAGAAAGGAGTTTTATCTCCCTTTTCCTCCCCAGCTTACCTTGTAGGGATTGTTTATATTTCTGTTTACTCTTCTCATTGCCTATTGACCATCCAGGAGCCGTAAGCGCAGAGATCCCTCAACTCTTATTAGATCTAAACCATTTGAGAACTACTATCAGACATACGATTCTAATACTGCTGTCACTAGGAGATAAATATCTACTTGTGCTATTTTTACCCACTAATTATGTTTAGTGTGTCTTTTTCCTGTCTTCTTTCTAATGTATCTTAAGATTAAAAAAAAACAAAGATTAATTTTTGAAAGTAGATAAATTGGCATGAAGCAGCATAGTATAATGAATGACTAAAAGAATATGCTCTGGAGCCAGATTTCATGGATTCAAATGCCAGCTCAGCCACTTCCAGCTGTGTGGCCTTAAACAAGACACTTAAAAAAAATTTTTTTTTTCTTTGCCTCAGTTTCCCCATTGGTAAAATGGGGATGATAATGGTATCTTCTCCATAAGGTTATAAAGTGTTTGGAACACTGGCATGTAGTAATTGCTAAGTAAGTACCTGTTAAATAAATAAACTAGCAGTTTGGACTGTTTGTGAGCAGTCTTGAAGATGCATATGCTGAGGTACCAGTTTGAAACAGACAAGCCATGCAGCTGGTATGCAGCCTCAAACACACTGATCAGTGGGCCCAAGGTGCTGGTCCCAGCATTGTCATCTCCATACAGCCAGTGGTTCTCTACTTGCTACTTTTTTTTTTTTTTTTTTGAGACAGAATCTCACTCTGTCACCCCTGATAGAGTGCAGTGGCATCATCATAGCTCACTGCAACCTCAAACTCCTGGGCTCAAGCAATCCTTCTGCCTCAGCCTCCCGAGTAGCTGGGACTACAGGTGCACCACCACTCCTAGCTAATATTTCTATTTTTAGTAGAGATGGGGTCTTGCTCTTGCTCAGGCTGGTCTTGAACTCCTGACCTCAAGCAATCCTCCCGCCTAGCCTCCCAGACTGCTGTGATTGCAGGTGTGAGCCACCGTACCTGGCCTCCTGTCCCTTTTGTGATTAAACCTGTTTCTTTATGAGTGACCCTGAAGTGATTAATGTCAATGATGAAAGTGAAAATAGCCAGAAGAAAAAGATGGGTCTTAACCAAATAAAAGGTTGAACTTGCTTAAATGCTTCAGTTTTGCTTTATTGTGCTTAATGGGGGAATATGCTATTTATAAATTTGCGAATTTGAAGTAAAAAATTATAGGTGATGCTGACTTTCAGCAAGCTGGTTGCTTTTTTAGCACTGGAAGAGTTGTACTCTTCCCTGCACGTGCTTTCATCCAGGTTCTCTTGTCAGCCCACAGCACATTTTTGCAAAGGACTGGCTAGGATTAACATTTTGAGCTTCTCTATATGGTTAAAGAACATAGCAAAGCTATATGGGCAGAGCTTTGACCTCATCATTTTTCAGTCTGGTTGTCATTAGCCACAGGATACACAAAGAGTCAGGATAAGTAAAATAATCCCAAACTCTTACTCTAACTGTATATTCAAGTAGCTCTCCAGTAAATGTCTTTCAGAGCAGTTACAAACACTTAAACTTCATCTTTTCCTGCTTTACCCCTTATGCTATGGTAGAGATTGTAATAAATAGTGAACATGGCAGCAAAAACCTCAACGATGTAGGCCGCCTAGTCAGTGCACATAATACAGTGTTGATTGTTTTGGGACAGTTCTTTTCCTTTTTGCCCCTAAGCTCCCATCGTATCTTCATCTATATCACCAAGACTCCCTGAGAATTGCTTGTTGACACTCTTGTTCAGAGCACTGCATAGCAAAGGTAGTGAGTAAATACATGAACGCTTCTTTGCTGTCCTGTCTTCCTCCCAGTAGTCTGTCTACTGTAATATAGTTCCTCCCTTTTTTACAGGTGAATGCCCTGGATGGTTACAACCGAACAGCCCTCCACTATGCAGCAGAGAAAGATGAGGCTTGTGTGGAGGTCCTATTGGAGTATGGTGCAAACCCCAATGCTCTGGATGGCAACAGAGATACCCCACTTCACTGGGCAGCCTTTAAGAACAATGCTGAGTGTGTGCGGGCTCTCCTAGAGAGTGGGGCCTCTGTCAATGCCCTGGATTACAACAATGATACACCACTTAGCTGGGCGGCCAGGAAGGGAAATCTTGAGAGTGTCAGCATTCTTCTTGATTATGGTGCAGAGGTCAGAGTCATCAACCTAAAAGGCCAGACACCCATCTCCCGCCTGGTGGCTCTATTAGTCAGGGGACTTGGAACAGAGAAAGAGGACTCTTGCTTTGAGCTCCTCCACAGAGCTGTCGGACACTTTGAGTTGAGAAAAAATGGTACCATGCCACGAGAGCTGGCCAGAGACCAGCAACTATGTGAAAAACTGACTGTTCTGTGCTCGGCCCCAGGAACTCTAAAAACACTGTCTCGCTATGCTGTACGCCGTAGCCTGGGACTCCAGTATCTGCCAGATGCAGTGAAGGGCCTTCCATTGCCAGCTTCTTTGAAGGAATACCTGTTACTTGTAGAATAGCCTGGAGGAGACATTTGCACCATCAAGCAGGCAGCTCTGGGTGAGGTTTTTCTCTGCAGTACAGTCTCTTTGTCATGGAAAACAGAAAAGCAGTTGTTCCTGTTGTATGGTTTATAGATTTGGAGGCAACATGTCACAACAGTAATCGCCACACCACCTCCCCTCCCCAAACCAAGCAACCAAACAAGAAAAAAAAATCCCTCACTTGTGTTTCCTGTTTATTGCTTACTTGGCTTTTTACATTGCACCCCGCAAAAGAGGTCTCCCCCCATGCTTCACTTTAGAGAAAGAGTCAACAGTGCCCGCTAAATTTCTCTAGGAAGATGGAAAGTATTTAAAGAATCTGTGTGTGGTTTTCCTTTGGGAACATGGTTAATGTTTCAGAAGAGTCCCTTCTAGAAAGCATTTTAATTGATCTGTGAAGAAGTTTAAGAAAAATCACAATTTCAGCTAATAACAATTATATCTCAAAAATGAAGATACTCCAACTTCAAATGGTATGCAGATTCAGAATTGGGCTGGATGATATCCCTAGAGTGCCATATTGTGGGGCATTCAGAAGGGACTAACCCCCTTTCCCCTCATCAAAGGAAACAGGAAAAAAAATCTTTCCCTCTTTTCCATGGGTGTGCCCAAGGGTTTCAGTAGTTCAGCAGTGTTATTTCAGAAAGATTAACTTGCTGCTTTCCACATAGAAGAGAGAGCAGGTTCTAAGCAGTCCTAAGAACTCCTAAAAGTCCTGAGAACTTTTCTTCCTGAAAGCTCTTTCTCTTCCTGGAAGGCCATTTGCTCTAATGGGCCTAGTAGGCAGCTCCTGCACCTTTGACTAAGGTGTTCATTGTAGCAGGGGAGGAGTTACTTTTCTTTCAGTGGTTTTGGAACTTTTCTTTTTATTGATCTATACAAGACATTGGTGATGGGGTGGGGGTGTGGAGTTGGGAAGGGAGTAGGGAAAGAGCATATAAGAGCTGCTTTTGAGATGGCCCACCTACCCAAAAAAGATCTGTTTTAATGAACAATTCTTGGTCAACAATTCTCTTTTCATGTTTCTAAACTAGATCAAGTTGTTACTGATCTTAGATGACCTGGATGCAAATTTAAAAAATCCTTTTTTTAAAAGCTGATTGGGAACTAGAAACAGAATGAATGGGATCTGCTGACACAGCTAATTTGAAAAAGAATGTCTGCTTTGTCCTTTTGCTGTTGGTGTTTTTTGCCCATTTAAAAAAAGAAGAAATAAATAGTTCTAAAAGCAAATTTGGCAATTTCTACTGTTCCTACTTTTCTCTGCTCCCCCGCCCACCCCCATTTGGAAAAAATTCTTCCTTTACTGCCTGGTCTTCAATGTATCTTTCCATCTCAACCTTTCTCCCATTAGCAACAGTGATTCTGGACTCTGGTGGGGTGAATGGGAGGGCTTGGGCAGAGTATTTGAAGAGCTTCCCCTTCCTTCATTGCTTCCCCAACCCCAAATTGGGAATTACTGCTTTTATGTTCTCAACCCCAGCTGCACATTAAATCACCAAGGAAGCTTTTTAAAAACACTGATGCCAAGATTTCACCCCATGCCAAATGTTTAGAATTTCCAGGGGTGGAGCTGGGGGCATCAGTGGGTTTTTAAGACTCTTCAAATGCTTCTTAAGTACAGCCAGGAATGAAGATCCACTGCTTTCCCTAGGGAAATTTTTAAAAATACTAAGGCCCAGGCTCCACCCCCAGAGTCTGATTTAATTGGTCCAAAGTGGGCCTGGGCAGCATCAGTATTTTTAAAGGCAACCCCCATCCCCAGGTGATTATAATATTCAGGCTAGATTTATGAACCAGTGCTTTAGATGTCACTTCATTTCTCATCATAGACAAAGTTAATATTCTAGAAAGGGAATATATATATTTTGTCCATGTAGAAAAAAATGTTACTGTTTTCCCAGTTATTTCATAATCATTCATGAAGTTGGTGGCTAATTCTGCTTCCCTTCTATTTAAACGCAACTTCACTTATTGTTTTAGCTCTGGGGAAATGGCATGTACCTTCACAGGTTTTGTTTTTGTTTTTAAGTGGTCTTCACTATGCTTTTTTTCCCCAGATCATACTATGATCCTAAATGTTTTACCCTACAAAGTGATAGTTTTCCTCTGTGATTAGCTTCCCACCCAGCCATCCCTTCCTTCTTCATCATTTCCTCAAAGAAACAGCTCTAGGATTAAAGATAGGAAAGAGAACCTATAAATTAATAGCAGTTAGCACTTAAAATGTTCTGAATGGATTTTCCCTCTCACTTCATTTTCATAGCCCTCATGATTTGGGGGATTTGATATAGCTTGGTAAGGAATATAAGGCACAGGGAATGAGGATGGTCTTTGAAGTCAGAACTGAGTTTGAGTTCTGGTTGAATAATGTTGAAGGAGACATCATTTAATCACCCTGAGCCCCAGTGTCCTCATCTCTGAAGTGGGGCTGTCACCACCACCCTCAAAAAACTATTTTGAGAATTCAATGATAACATGTAAAATGCCTACCACAGCACTTGGTGTTTATTGTTAATTTCTCTTCTACTTAAAAAGCTGTGCAAAGAGCATTTGGCACCTTAATTCTTGACTCTGACAACACACCTTCTCAGTCACTATTTAGAACTGATTTAAAGAGTTTGGCAGTAACACTTTGGACAGCCAGTGCTAGAGATAATCCTTTCCTCCACCCCTTTTGACACCTTGAATGTCTTTCCTGCTTCATCAGGCAAGTGAGAAAACTTTGTGGGTTGGGAGGAATGTGTGTGCCTGTGCTGGGAGCCAGGACCTGGTTATTGGGAGGCTAATCTTAAATCTGGCATTAAAAAACAGGGCATCATCCTGTCAATTTGGGGCACAGTCTATAGTTCCAATCCCGAGGACCAACTATATTACATGTGTGCTTAGGTAATGAGAAAGAAGAACCAGCTTTTATGAAACAAGACAAATTGCATCTGAATAAGAACTGACTTATTTCCAAAGCAGTATTCCAACAAACCCACCAAACCAGGTCCAGGATTAGATATCTCCATTTTCTAAGCTTCCAAAATGTACATGTCTTCCCCATAAAGGTCCTGTCCAATGCAGTCTAGCTTTCATCCAGGAAGCAGTACAGGGGAAAAGTTGAGAAGGAAGAACGCCGGATTGTTAGTGGAGCAGAGACTGTGGGGGTGGCTGTAGAAAAGCAACTCTGGGTAGTGGACATATGATCAAGAGGTGAAACACAACCCCGTGCCTACGTGAGACAGGAGTGTGTCCATGGCTGCAGACAATGCAGGAGGGACTAGGACCAGGGTCAGTGTAGTCAAGTGTACTGTGTCCAGGACCCTGTGTACAGAGCCGAGAATCCTGCAGAAAAATAATCCCAGGGCTAGAGAGAAGTTCATGGGATGATCACATGGGCTTTTCTCCCAGGTGGTCTACCTGGTGGGTCTGGTACACGGGGCTGATAGTATTACATTCCACTTGTGAAGATGATAACAGGAGAACCAAAAGTGCAGTGACTAGTTGGCATTTATTAGTGTAGTTACAATTTGTCACTGTAAGAAAAGTAGTAGAGGAACCAAGACTCTTTGTTACCACAAAGAAATAAATAAAGCTTATTTCTAGGAAAATTCTACTGAGTAAGTGAAATCTAGCAGTAGCACTAGAGGAGCCCAGCCTTGTGTGACAGATGAAGCTGGGGTAGAAGTCATGATAAATTCTACCTAAATGGAGCTTGCATTCACCACCCTCTCCTCCAGCTCCTGGCCAGGGCTGATCATGGTACAGAATAAAAGGAAACCTAATGAAAAAAGAGCTAAACACTGAGAAAACGTGGACTTAGATCTATCAGGGGGTGAGCTGACCATGATCAGATAATCTGTTCCCCTCACTCCAAAGAGGTTTAGACAGCAGCTTCCCCAGACTGCTTCCGAGTGATGTGCTCCAGGTGGGCATGTTCTGAGGTGTCCAAGTCAATCTCATACTTGGCCAGGATTTTGAGGATGGGCCTCAGCTTCAGCCACCACTGTTCCTTGGGAATTCGATGCCTACAGAGAAATGAGGTAGATGATGATATATCTTTTAGCACCCCAATCAACTTCTACTAAAGGCTTATTGGAAGAAGTTGGGCAGAAGAGGCTGGCTTCAGAACACAGGCAACAGATCTGAAATGGGTAAGACTACAGTTGTTACTCATAAAAGAAAAGGATTGAAGAGAGAAGACCCTGAAACTACAAGGGAGCAAACCACTCCAGAAAGGAGATCTACTCACTCAAAGTCAGTCTGGTCCTTCAGCTCGGTCACTGGCTGGAAGACCAGGGCCCTCTTACGCATCCCCAGAACACAGCCCGTGTCTGGACTATTGGCAAAGATCCGCCCTGCAATAAAGGATTCTCAGTCAGCTTCTGTACTGGGGAACCAGCCTCTAGAGGGGGGCTCACCCTCTCACCCCACCTACCATTACGGTAACTCTCTTTGATTTTCCCAGACATCCAGTTCATAGCTTTGGCACCCATCTTAGTGGCGAAATTCCTATCAAACGGAGTTGGGCTCCCACCCTGGAAAAAGAATCATAAAAATTACAAGGGAAGGACTCTAATGAAGTGGCAGAGATATCCAGATACACAGAGAAAGAGGAAAGACAGGCCCCAGGCTTACAGCCAGAAACAGGAATCCAGAAGTCTGACTATGAAAGGATTCAGCCATTTATCAGACACAAGAGTAATTAAAAGAGATGATTGGTCTCACAATTCCCTCTTTTAGCTATGTAGCTGCCAGATCCTGTTGTAGTCTTACTGGCCACTGGGTCAATTCTCTACCACTCCTCAGCCTAGCAGCTTTTGTCAGTCACCATCGCCAATGACACAGAAGTGTTCTTTGTGGCCCAATCTGGCTGCCATTGGTGGCACCTCAGAATAATAGAAAACATCATACAGATTTTCTTTGAACTAAAAGAAAGTAGGTGGGAAAGGGGGAATGTTTGGAGACTTTTGTTACAATTGGGGATGAGACGGAGGTGCTACTGGCATCTAGTGGGTAGAGACCAGGGATACTGCTACGCTGTCCTACAATGCATACAACAGCCATCTACAACAAATGGTAAAGGTGCTGAGGTTGAAGAACCCTGCCCAACATGAAGAGGATGGACCACATAATCTCTAAGGTCATTTCTAGGATAAAGATGTTTTGATTCTATGACTGTAAGAGATCGCAGGCCCATCCTCTATGGTGGCACTGACAACCTCTGCAGACTATAGAGGGCCGGTGGGAGCCTCCATGACTGCTGGGGGTCATGGCTGTCTGGTGAAGGGCATGACTGGGGTGTCTCCCCTACCTGCTGCATGTGACCA